CTTCTGGTGAATGTTAAAGTCTTAATTAAACAGGACATAAAAATAAATATAAAGGATTTATAGTTTTTTTAACCTGTCAATATTAAAAGTAATCTTTTACTTTTTTTAAACCAAGATTTAAAACAGGAAATATGTTCTCTTCAGCTCGGCATGCACTTTATAATATACTGTATATATTTTACTAATATATGTGTGTCATTATATGTAATAACTTTTTCCACTTTTTAGAAATTACATGTTTTTTCCCCAACACGTAATAGAAACTTTTTAAATAAATGTTTTGCTGCATGTTGATCTGTAGCCTGCTGGTTGGGGACCCCTGCTGTGAAGCTTCTTTAATTCCTAAAGAACATGAGCAGCTGCATGCTTTTCACTGTATTGTTTTGTATGAGATTTCTTTTTTTTTTTCCTTTCCAACATTTATTTTTCAAAGAACCACTGCTTACGTAAAAAATAAATAAATAAATGAATAAAAATTAGTTTGCAGATTGTAGAAGTCGAAATCTAACTTTACTTGTGTGTCGGTCTAAAAAAAAAAGACGTACCAAAACTGCAAATTAAACTATATTAACTATAAAAAGAAATTATCACAATGAAAGATGTCTTAAAAACTAAATATGTTAGCTTTATGCACCATTTACACAGTACCAGTGATGAATGATGTTATTAATGAGGCAAAGTTCTGTCAGCATAAATTATGTGATCTCACCTTAAATTTCACAACTTTCTTTTAAAGTCCTCTGTAGCCTTGTATGTTGCATTTTAGAACTTAATAACCACCTAAAAGCATTTAAATATTTCACACCTATGTTTTTAATGACAATTTATTAATTGATTCGGTACTGATTTAAACAAAGAAAACTACTAGGAACTCATTCTAATTCAGTTATATTTACTTACTGTTTTTGTCTTTGTTTTCACTTTTCAGCTCAAGCTATTTCTGGACACTGAGGTGCTACTCCATGATGATACCAGACACCTGAGAGCTCTAAGAAATGTTTTTTTTTCTCCAACATCAGTAGTATGTGGACAACTTTATGCAACAGTAGGAAAAAAAACAACAAAGACAAGAAAAACAGTAGTGAACATTTAAGTTGAGGCTCACTCAGGACTGACTTGTTGAAAGTGTTTCCAGCTGCTGAAAATTTTCTGGAGTAAAGTAAAAATGTGGGAGCTGCTCTCAATGATACCTATGACAATGTCTAACAGATGTTAATCTCATAAATAATAAAGACTATTTTCTACAATTTTAATGCACTTTTGAATTGTACATTGTGTCAGATTTCTATAGTAGTTTTACTTACATCAGTAGCCAGCTGGAGCATTTTGTTTTTTTTTAAATAATTTTTCAGACACAGGAATCTAGGAAGGTTAAATGCATAATAAAACAAGTATTTTTATCTATAATATTCCTACACCACGCTTCCTGGTTTTGTTTGTGTATTTATGGTACCTGTTGCACTGCCAGCCTTCTTTAGGRTCGCCAAAATTAACAAGATTTTTTGCCTTTTTTTGAATGAAACTATCCGCCAACATGTTTTTGTGTGACACGAGCAGTTTGGGCTAGTGYGATTTACAAAGATATTAAAGATGTTGACACAATGTCTCTTTCATAGCACATTTATTTCATGGGTTTAATRATGTATTTTTAATGTAAAGTAAAAAATTATAAGCAACCAAATATGCTAAATTTGAAGATTTTGACGTTCTGCATCAGTGACAAAAACAATGTGTATTGTTGTTTTGGCTGCTCCCTTCTGCAGGGGTCACAACAGACTGCYAGCTTGCCCTTTCTGACACAACCCTCACTCGAACCTACAAACTCAGGATTAAAAGACGGCAGCGCTGACAGCAAAGCCAGAGCACAACTGGCAAAACCAACATGTTTGATGGGACCTTTTTTCCTGCTGAAATTAAAAGTTTGAAGCTAAGAGTTGAGATACTTTGCTGTGTTCTGTCAGCACTTACGATTTGGTATGAAAACTGACAAAATGATGCAGATTTTGGCCTGATGGAGGACTTCTATTTAGCTCCGAACTCTTTCAAGAAACAGGGGTAAGTTTAACAAAAGCAGAAGAGTTAGGTAACCCAGAATAAGGGAAGAAAGTTGGGCTGGACCSGGTCTTGTTGGAACACTTTGGTTCATCTGGTTTCACAAAGCTGAAGAGGAGCAGCTACAGTAAGTCATCTTAACTGCAACAATACAGGCACAATCTCCTACTGTAAGCATCAGTCTTAATTGGTTTACCTGTCACTGTTAATAAATCAGTCAATACGATCACTTTTTCATCCATTTAATATTTTCTACTTGTTCTGAACAAGGGCATAACTTTAGGTCTACCGTGTGTGTGGGGGAGTTTCTCTCTGCCTATTTATTTATTTATTTATTGAATTATTTACTTTAGTAAACCAGTTTAATGTATTTAGGTTGAAACACATTGTAATGCTTTTACTGTTATTTACTTAACTTTCTTGTTTGCTTTGTATTTATTCTGCACCTTTTCTGTTTCACGTCAGTTCAACATTTATGAAAAGGCTTATTTTTCCCCATTTTTTTCTAACAGTAAATATTTTACGTTTTTAGGATGTATTATACCAGGGGTTCTTAACCTTTTTGACCTCAGGGCCCAATTTGTTGAACATAAAGTGGCACGAGTCCCAGTCAGACATTACCAATGTACGGATCAAAATGCTAATTATTCTAAATCTTGGTTTAATTTTTATTGTATTTACATCATAACTAAACTATCATAGCTAACATAACTAAATTAAATACACTTACAGTTTAAAAGTAAAACTCCTGTCAAAAAAAATCACAAGACATGATTA